TGCCATAATTTCGTCGGCGCCTTTCCTCCGACTGCTCGAAATTAAATTTAATAATGCATTGAAATTGTGTTGGCATTGGCGGAAGCGAAATTTCATTAGGCAGGTGGAAAAGTGAAATATATAGCTGTAATACCATAAGTGTTCAGGAATACTGCTATGAAATGTTCTTTGTATTTTAAAAGTGAGAGTAAGGAGAAGAGGAGTTTTAATTTCTTAGTATGTGCAATGTATATTGTGCATATATGAAGAAAACAGTTTTCAATGTGCATTTTTTTTAATTTCTCAAAACAAATTCCATTTTCTTCTATAAAAACGCAATAAAACAGATTGAAAAGACCTATTAAAATAGCTCCTACGTGTATATCTCTTAAATTTATGTTAATTTCAAAATCAATTATACCAATACGAAGCAATTTTAGAGTTTTTTATTGAAGGGTAAACCTTAAAAACATTAATAATATTTCAAAAATCCTTTGAACATAATAGTTTTTAAAGAAATTCTTTAGTTCATTTTAACTTCTGATTATTTTCAATAAATTTAAATTGAGCATACTTCTCTATGCGAGTGGCCGTGTGTGTTCATTTTGATGCTGGTGTGCGACTTTTGCCGCAGCGCTTGATTAGATTTTGCCACTCACTTTTGGACCCCACCACCCACAAACAGCCCCCGTTTTTCACTGTGTGCGTATAACCGCAGCCACAACAACAACAACATGGGGGAAAACAACAACGCGAGTTCAGCATGGAGAGTTACATTATTTTTGCGAAAATTTGTTAAATATGCCAAACACGCAGCGATGCATGCAAAGTGGCAAAAGCAGCCAGGTGGGTAGTGCTTAGTTGTAGAAGGGGGGTTGGTTGAAGGGGGGTTACGTGGGTGGCAAGTGGGCAGTTGAGGGGAGGGGCATGGAAGTGCAGGGGGATGGTTCTATTTAAGCAAGGCAAGTCCATCCAGCCGTGGCATTGCGTACGCGTTTGCTCATATTTGTGACATAAATAAGCCAAGCCAAGTGTGCGGGCTAACAAGGGGGGAGAGGTGGATTTCCATGGGCGGAGGAAGAGGGGTGCATGGGGTTCTAGGGGTGGTTGGAGTGAAGGATGCACAGCCCCACAGCTGGAATGGCGGCAAATATGACCCGTTTTTATGAGTGTTGCGCGGCGGCCATTTTCGGCTTTATATTGGGGGAATGATGAACCAGGTGGGGGATTTGTAACCGAAGCGGATAATACTATTATTCTCTTAGTGCGGAGGATTAAATTAGCCAAGACGTTGAGGTTTATAAATAAAAGCAGCTGTTGAATTTATTAAAGATTTTCTTATACTCTGAAAAAGAAATTTCATAGCTTCTTATAAGACCATCTTTGAAGGGTGTTCAATATTTTAAGAGTAGACTACATTTTAAAGACAAATCCAATAAATCAGAAGATTGGTAGCGACTGGTCACTTAAAAATTTGTGAACACTTAAGTGTCGTATCATTTTAATTTCACCTGATAAAGCTTGTATTATTAATAGGTATGAATAATAAATAGGTATGCCTTCAGTCGTTCCTCAAAAAGTATCAAGCATAACCCACTCATTACATGCAGAATCCAAAGAACAAGGGGGCGCGAATGAAGAGTGGGCAGGAAGTGTGCAGTACGTCGATGTCATGGCTCGTTCGCCCTGCGTTTGGTTTCGGTTTTGGGTTCGGGGTTCGGGGTTCCCAGGCCCTCCGGTCGTAGTTCTCCGGTTCAGGTTTTGGGTTTGGGTTGGAGGCGCGGGGTTCGAGTGGTCGCTCGGTTAAGTTGAGTTGCATGCAAAAATGGCCAGCGCTGGAGCAAGGAAAAACAAGTCCTCGCTGAATGTGTGTATGGATGTAGGTTGCAGAAGTGGCCCGCACTTTAGCCGCTTCCCTGGCCACCGTCGCCGCCCCTCCTTTTCTGCTTTATGTTTTCAAATTAAAGTCGAAAGCGTGGCAACACTTAATGTGCGCCACTAGAAGCAGATTAGTTGCATTACCCCGAAGCCGGCTCACTGACTCGTCCATTTTCCAGCCACCCCTTTTTGGCCGGGTTAAGAGGGAAGGAGCGGAATAACTACGGAGCGTGAGCCTGGTCCGACATATTAATAATTTAAAACTAAAGCAATTTTGCCGGCAAGACTTGAAGGTAAAGTTTTCCACAGCCTGCCTTAGTGGCGGAATTTAAGTTTAAATTGAATGCAGCTTAAGATGTGCGGGGCTTAATGTGTAGGAGAGTAAATGAAGAGAATAATTCTTCCTTGGGAAAATATATTGTTGAAAAAGGGGTTTAAAAACATATATCATTGAATGGAACTTTAAGAACTTGGGGTCTTTTAAGTCTGAACATAATGCAAATTCAAAACTAGAACGTCATACCCTACCTAAGTTCTTTCTTTAAGATTCTTGTTCTTAATAGCGACAAATTCCCCTAAGACATTTCTTATAATTTAGGTAAATACATAATATTTTCCTATTTTTGCTATCTTTAACCTAATCCCTGAATGGCAATGCGTTCAATTTGCAGCTGATCAAAACTAATGAGGTCACCGCCTCGCCAAGTTTGTTTACTTTTTCGGGAGGAGGACTTAAATTATGGAATTGGATAGTTGTGGGTGGATGTTTTAGACGGGATTGGCATTCCGCCACCGCATCGAATTCAATGAATTTTAAAATTCCTTTTTCCACTGCGCTCGCTGCTGCTGACTGCGCGCAATTTCTGCCAGGATTATGATAATATAGCTCAAGTGCAGTTAGTCGATGTCGCTGCTGCAGTTGCACTTGCAGTTTGCGATAATCATAATAATAATAGTGGTGCAAGTGCTGCTCCTCCTCCTCCTTCAACGTCATTATAGTGTGTGTGTGTGTGGTTTTGCATTTGATAACGCTTGGGGAAGATGATAATAATGATGATGGTGATGCAGCATCAGCACTCGGAATGACAATTGAATTGGGGGCGATGGGGGGCAGAAGGAGCATGATGCTCCATCGAGTGGAAGGATGGAGCCGCATTGCAGCATGGGCGATGCCTCGAAATGTGGCAAGTCGCAGACCGAAAGGGGGCAAAACCGAGGCATTAGAATTCCCAGCCATTAAGCTGAATTTCAACACTTCTTGCGGTTACTCCTGTCCATAAAAACCGCCATTATAATACGTTTCGAATAATAATTTTAAATACCCGCCGTCAACGCAGCAAAGTCAATGACCAGAATGGCTACTAAAAATCAATTTCCACCCCATAAGCAGCTTAATTATAATTTTAATTGATTTCCAAAAACAGATTTCAAATTGGGTGGCGCTGGGCGGCGTTCAACATTTTTGCGCTGGCAAATTGCAGACTATAAAACATAATTCGCATTGACTAAAAATTTCGCGTTTATTGGAGCGATAAAATAATAATTTATTACAAAGCCGAATGCGATTTTTCGGTTGATGCTGCCCAAAATTTTGTGCCAGCGCAGTTAAAATTATCAAACACTAATTGGGCTCATTTGGAAGGAAGAGGTTAACCTGAAAGTGGAGATACAAATTGTAGGGGCTAAATGTATTATTTTGTTACTAACATATTTGGTAAATAAAGTTTGGTAACCTATAAAAAGAAGCACTTAAATCAATGCAGAAATTCTTTAAAGCGGGAAAAATATATATGATTTTAAATCACTATCAAATTAACGCTTTATTTTCATATGCAAATGTGAAGGAAACATTGAAATATTTATGAAAGTCTTTAAAATGGTCGCGTCAAAAATAGTTGTCGACACGAAAATCCTGCAAATTGAAATAAATTTTGGCTTATTTATTTATTTTTGCCGAGTCATACAAATTTAATCCGCTTCCAGTAATCGCCAGCACTTTAAATGTATTTAAGCCAATTGAATTGCAATTTGGTTTAGTTAAAAGATAGAGAGCCCAACCAACCGAACCGATCCGCCCGCACAAACAACCACATCACATGGCACTCCCTTTCCCCTTTTGGGAAAAACATTCTCAGCCAATTGCACATTCGATAACAATTAATTTGTGCAGTGCGCATTTTGCGTGTTTGTGCAAATAAATTAGTTGCCCATTTGCCTCCTCGGCCGCCTCGCCACCACACTTAGAGCCCTTTTCCATGGAAAGTGCAAATATTTGGCGAAATGTTAAATGCCTGCCAATTAGTTATCGAGTCCATACCGTTTTCACTCGGAGCGAGAGTTTTAATTTATGTAAAATTAATTGAGCATTGCCAAATGCTGGAATTAACTAAGCCTGGCTGAGCACGCAGACTCCCGCCCATGAGCCCCATTCTCGGTTTGGACCCGGCCGGAACGGACCAGTTCGAACCTGGCCCTAACCCACTTGAGTGTGGCACTTTTCAATGCCACAGCACTGAGCTCTCAGCCAAGGCGAGGCCGTCCATTGGGGCCTATTGGGTTACACTCGACGATGTGGTTGGGGCTTCCGCCAGCGTTTCACGCAGCGATTAACTTACCAAGGCCAAGGTCCCCGTTTTGGATGGCTTGGATTTATCTCGATTTAGCAGAAAATCGTATTAAAAAATAAATTATTGCACCACAGACAGTTAACACATTTCCAATTTTTATCTATTTCTTCGAATTATACTCTAATATGAATACCTGTTATCAAATAGAGAATGTTTGTGCGGGCATAGGGAATATCTCTGCTGGCTCTTTGCCGCCACACAAACAGAGTAGAGCAGCAGTCAATTAAAAGACAAAGTTGATAAATGATTGCAAATTGTGTGTTTAGCTACCTTTATAATGGCAAAACAATATAGTCATAGAAAATATATATGTTGAACAGAGGCAATTAAAAACAAACACATACTTTAAAATCGTTGGATAACTAATGTGTATTTTAGGCGGTAAATCATTTCAATAATATTAGAGCCAAGATAGATGATTTGTTGGCAAACACAGTTCTCATATTTAGTACACTTATAGTTTATTTATCCCTAATCTAATCAATATTATTTCATTGTATACCAAATCCTTTACAGAACGCAAACTTTTTGTGGGAATGCTAAACAAGAAGCTGAACGAGAACGACGTTCGCAAACTTTTTGAAGTCCACGGAGCCATCGAGGAGTGCACCGTTCTTCGGGACCAGAACGGCCAGAGCAAAGGTTGTGCCTTCGTCACATTTGCCACCAAACACGCCGCCATTTCGGCCATTAAAGTGGTAAGTACCAAATATACATATCATCTTGAAATCTTCAAAATATTATTTGTATTTTTTGTTAATCCTTAAAGACCCTAAGCCAGAACAAGATCATGGAGGGCTGCACATCGCCGCTGGTCGTCAAGTTCGCCGACACGCAGAAGGAGAAGGAGCAGAAGAAGATCCAGCAGATCCAGGCCAACCTGTGGAACCTGGCCAGCAACATCAATATTCCGCTGGGGCAGACGGCCACCAGCGTGACCACGCCCATTCTGCCCAACCCGCCGCAGCAGCCTTCGCCGGTCCTTGGTGCCGATGCCATCACCCCGGCCTCCATCCAACTGCTGCAGCAACTGCAGGCGGTTGGACTGCAGCAGCAGTTGCTCCAAGGTGAGGACATTGTCGCAAATATATGTACAAACCTCAACAGAACTTTATTTGTTCAGCAAATAGGGATCGCTATTATATCTAAAACAAAATTATTTATTAGGAATAATATTTTGAAATAATACAATTAGTCAAGTCATTTAGTTTTTATGTCTAAAGGTTTGGTATTTAACTAAGTGATACAATATTCAATGTAAATAATTAGAAAGAAAATTGAAGAGCTGTTGTAAAATAATATTTATTTTATATTTACAATGATATTTACAATATATATTGACAATGATAAGAAACCAATCACTTAAACATTAATCATATTTTTATAAAATTTTAAAGGTTTAATCAGACTTCTCTATGCAAATGTCACCATTAAAAAAATATTAGACTAATTCAAACATTTATTTATTTATTTATTTATATAATGCTAACAAGTAATTGTAAACTAAATGCTAACAGTGGTCATGAGCTATAGCAGCCATAGGCCTTCAGCTCGACTAATTCAAACATATTTCATTTAGTCTTAATATAAGCAAACACTGTCTAATACAATCTAATCTTATATTATCCCTTTACAGCCCTCACCGGTCTGGGAGCCCAGCAGAGCAGCTCGGCGACGGACACCAGCGCCGTTGCGGCCGCTGGCCTTTTGACCCCGATGACCGTCCAGAATTTGGCGGCCATTGCGGCCATGACGCAGCCAAGTCTCTCGAATGCCGCCGCCGCAGCAGCCGCTGCCTCATCGCCGGGAAGTGCCCAACTTACCAACACGGCTGCGCTGCTCTGTAAGTTTTCCCCACCCCATTTAATATCAATTGGATAGTTAAGGGAAAAAAGTGAAGGTTCCCTGGTTAATAATTCATCAGGGTGTGCCACATCCCATAATCCGCCCCAAACTTATCTTAGCCATCAGTTGCCTCAGCTAATTATCTAATTTTTTCTCATTTCCGTATTGAAGTTTTCCTTGTGCGTCGCAGGGTTTTTCCGCTCCTCTACTTTCTCGTCAGCCTGTTGCTCGCCTTTCTTTCCGACGCACTTTCTTTTTTCGTCCCGCTGCTCAGTGTTTCTTTTATCGATTTCTAATTATGTTGCTGTCCTGGTTATTGTCTTTAATGAGTGTCGAATGGTTATAGGGTTATAAGAAAGTTATTTCGGGGTGAAAGAATATTATGACAAGTGTGAGAGGAGCAGCCTTAAAAGACAATTCAGTTTATATATAGAGTTCCCTTCTAATGCTTAATTAAATTCTAATAAATTATGCATTACTATTGCTTTTAGTATAAAATAACGAAAATAAACCAATCGATGGCCTCATTAACATTCATTCGCTTTCCTAATTTAATTCATCAGTAATGAGGTAAACTTTCCACTCAAAAAACTCAACGAAATTGCTTTTCTATTCCTCGTTTCGTTGCTAACAAGTAATGTGTCATCATCTGACATGCAAAGTGCCCAATTAGCTTGATTTAGTGACCCCCTGCTTATCCTTCCATCGCCCGCCGTCTTCATTTTTTCCAACTTATCCAAGGAAAGCAAATTACAATGATGGTCTTGTCAATCTTCATTGGAGAGGAAACTCACCGGATTGTCTAAAAATAGCCGAAAAAATATGTTTTTCCCAAATGCGATAAGTGGATTGACGTCATCGGCGGGTCTAGTCTAATAAGTTTGGAAGAATTAATTAGTCTTCTACTAACACAAGTGTATTCTTTTCTATCTACTTAAACATTGCTAACCTAATCGTTTAAATTAATGTGGAATTAATGCAGGCCTCTTGGGCAAAAAGGCAGCAGCCAAAAAATCAGGTGAGAATCCCTTGAATTTATGAAAATGCTCCAAGATCTCCCCGTTTTAGTTTTCTTTATTCTGGTTTTTGTTTTACGAAATATTAAATCCATTAAACTTTATTTGCAAACCTGGAATTTTTTTATGAAAATCTGTCCATTAATGAAAAAATATACTTTTTACTCTCTACTTAAAAATCATTGCTTATCGTATAAACAAATGTGGATTGAACGCAGCCAAAAAGAAAGGTGAGAATTTATTGAATATGACCACATATTCAAAGTCTGTCTTTTCATTTCCATGCTGTGGCAATTTAAATTTTAATATTTAAACCATTATTTAATTAGTCCATAAATATTTCATTCCTACTTAAATATGATTTCAATTTCAGTGCTCTTAAATCAAAATGCTTTTATTTCTTTAATACTCTTGAGTATGCCAAGTTTTCCGCAATTTTCTTGAGTTTTCATCACCTGCTGAGGGATGCTGCTTTCATTTTCATTTTGTCATAAAAAAATGTGTGTGTTATTAAGTTTGATAGTTAAAGTCAACGAAGCATTCGACGTAACGTTCACGTGCACCGTAACGCGCTTGTTTAACGTCGCCTGCTTTACGTCACCAGTCCGTAGAGAATCGGTGGCCATATCTCCGGAGGAGGGAAACTGGGGGGGGGGGGGGGGGCTGGCTTTATCTGGAGTACCCGAGACCCTACAACATACAAAATTACAAGTTACACTCTCTTGCGAAATTAACAACACGGAACTTATTGCACCAGAAGCCCCTGGAGAAAGGGGAACGAAGTTACGAGGAGTTGGTTCCTGGGAAATGGGACATGGGGAATAAAGGACGACGAGTTGTTGCTGCACGGCTCCTTCTTGGGCTCATTGACTTTTTCGCTTTGGGGAAATTGCAATGCTTTCTGCTCAGTTCACAGACTTCATTTCTCACTTCTCAGCTTCCATTTCTGCAGTTGCCACTGGTAATAAAAGCGGCAATAGGGAATTAAAATATTAAGGTCAAAAGGTTGATAGGTCCATAAGGTATAAAGGTTTTAATATTTTAAAATTATAATGGAAAAAATCAAAGATTTTTAAGTTTATAAGTTCAATTTCCTTAAAATATTCTCATAAAAATATTTAAAACCAATCTAGACCAATGAATTGCTACTGCAGTTTAAGCTGGAAGGTTATTCGTTCTTTCTTTAAAACTTTTAAATAAAAAAGAATTATGACCTGTCGTTTTCATTTCATCAAACAAAAACCACAGGAAAATTCCTCATAAATGTGGTAAAGACAGAAGCCAAATATAAAGCAAACAAAAATTTCCCCGAAAAATAAAACGTTAAGTTTTCGGTCGAGGGCCAAAAGAAATGTCATTGCCTATCTGTGGGCATCGCAGACCGCATTTTCCGCCTTTTCCACACTTACTTCTTAAATATTTTCTTAGCAAGTTCATTTCGAGAGGATCTTAGTAAGAAGTAGGCGAACAAAAAACACGGCCAAATAAGAAGAAAAATCTGCGGCTGACTTAACCAGAAAAATGCCAAAAATTAAGCGGATTTGCAGAGAATCCCTCCTTTGGCCACTCTGCCTCATTCGCTCCGAGCTTATCTTGTGGGGATTTTCGTGAGTTTTGGCCCTTGTGCACTTGTGCGTGCTCATCGTGTGCCACTTGAACGATTTCCGGGCACTTCATTTAATGAAATATTAAAAATTCTTTGCCCGGGGAGCGGATGGAGTCCGACGATTCGGACTCGAAGGAGATGTCCTCCGTCTCTTACATCCTTCCCTTTCGAACTGGAAAAAAATGCAGTTCAAAGTGCAGCTGACAGGGAGGACTGCAAGGATGCGCCTATTTGTGGGTCCTTTCTGCCATTTTATACCCAGTACTTTAAGAGTGTATTTTACTCGTTCGAAAAGTTGGACCTCGAAAAACAAAACGTGACGTGATAAAATAAACCTAAAATAATTCAAAAAATGTATACAGTATTATCTCGTTTAGAATTTCTTTTTTAATATTCTTATGCGATTTATACTACTGAACTTTTCAAGCAATAAAGAAAATCCCGTAGTCGAGACCCCCTTTTTTGTAACTCACTTCTTTTTCACCATGTTCCCATGCTGAAAAAATCCAACTTTTCGTTTCGTATTTTTTTTCTTTGCTGGTCGGATACATAAACTAAACTACAAAATCGCTTTCCAAGTTGCCACGAGTAACAAACTTTTGGCAGTGACTGCTGTTGTTATTGTTGCTCTCACCCTTTGCCTGCCACAAATAAAATGAACAAACAAATTGAGCTCTCGACTTTGGCTCGCTTTGTTTGTTGTTCCATCCCGAATATTGTTTATGGAAAATGTATCGAAGTCGGCGGCAGTGGAATAAAAGAACTAATTGTTTTGGGGTTAGAACGAACAATGCGGGAGATACAAATTGTTAGAGTTAACAATGGGAAGATGGAAGTAATAAAGGGATTTTGTTTGTTCGTTGCACTTGCGAGGATGTAAAAACGAGGCTTAATTGAAAAAGGGAAATAATTACTATATTGCAGGGAGATCAGTACATTTTTTAAATTACACTACGGAATACAAATATGGCACTCACTTTTTGTTTGCAAATTATTTATAATTGCCCTATTACCCAGAAAATGTTATAAATTTCTAAAACTTCAAAAAATATTGAACAATTATAACATTTTAAATAATTTATGCTTTAAACTAACTTAAATTGTTTTCTTAAATAATTATCTAACGTTTTTCTGCACTTTAAAAGGAACAAAAATTATCTACTGACTTTATACACTCGTAGTTTTATAGGACAAGCTAATTAAAAAATTTAAAAAGATAAAAAAAATATTTAAGTCTTCACAGTGTGTCTTGTTTTATCCCCCTTACATTTGCCTGATTTTCCGCAAGCACTCATCACAAAAGATCAAGAGCATCCAATTCAAAAACTTTTTCGAAGCTCACTCCTTTGAACTCGCCTCCAAGTTGAGTAGGTAAAAAAACAAAAGCGAGCCAAGCCAACAGCAACAACCGAAAATCTTAATCAAAGTTTTGTTCAAGTGCAGTAAACTATGTAGTTTATACTACCAACCTCAGGCCCTTCAAACTGATTTAGGGTTTCAACACGTTTTGAACCCCCTCCATTTTGCTTGGCCATTCCTTTCATGGCGTTCCCTTTTTCCCAGCCCGCTCTCCATTACGTTTGTTTATACACTTTTCCTTTCTTTTTCTTTTTGCACTTCAAAATCAACAGCAAAAATAACAATAACAGTGGGAACAAAAAGTCTTCTGCCTGCAAGTGGCAAATAAGATGAAGGAGGAACTGGAAATTGTACAATTTCGTACTTGAACTCCACGAACAATTTTCCAACTTGAAACTAAAAACTTGCAAATACAAAACAGACAACATCCGGGCCAGAAAACAGTTTTAGGCAATGTTTTCGACTTCTTATTCCTTTCTTTCGGCTGTTTCTTCAATTTGCCATTGTTTGGCCAGGCCAGGCCACTCATGTGTATTATTATTGGCCAACTTAGTTAGCCAGCTCCTTGATGAGTAGTGTGCCCTGGGTTCATACATATTCCACTCTTCACTGGACGACTTTTCTTGCCTTTCTTTGCGAAACTTTGAACAACAATTAAAACAATTTTCCGTGCAAATATGTGCAAAACTTTTCGCTTACTTCTGCAAATTTACCATGTTTTTATTTCTCAATTAACTGCTTGCTTTCGTATTTAAATCAGTAAAGTTGTACGTTTGATCAAAGTTTTTAAAGTGTAGTAAGAAAAGACGGGTCGCACAATTAAATTCAATATACTGGGATATTTTTTGCTGATCTGAATTCATATCTTTCCCAAAGCTATAATACCCAAAGATATTGGTTATTGGACCCATTTTGCATATATATAGTTATTTGGGCATTGCACTCGCAGTGTTTCGACCCCATTCGAAAGGTTTGCAAAACTCATTAATAACGGCGATCATGGACGGCGCCAAGGGGGTGTAAAGGGGCGAAAATTGGTAGTGGTGGTCAGGGGCGGATTGCAAACCACAAAATTGCATTGCCTGACGGCCAATGGCGAAACACGCAAAACAACTAAATAACAAACAACAGGCGTCAAATTACACAAAACCCGAAACCAGAACACAACCAACATCGCACAGAGACAAATTAATTTCAGATTGGCTATTGCGGATGTGTCATGTGTGTGCTTTGTAAAATAATCAAATGTCGCCCGCGTCGCAGGGCACAAAATTCGATGATTAATTACGTCTGACGAAACGATACCAACTAAATAATAATTGTACAGTGAAATCACAGGTTATATATTCTGTCAAAAAAATTAGAGTATACCAATTCCATTTCAGATATATCCGCTTTAGATTGCAAATGTATGATGATATCTGATATAAACCATTTTATTTTTAAACCTAAACATTTCGGTATTAATCAAATTTTTTAGTATCACACATGAGATGGGAATATTTAATGATGAGTTTAATGCTTAATTTTCCGTTTGGTATAGCAAACCTTTCTCATTTACGCAACGATATTTTAAAATTTGCTTTAGCATGACACGAACTAAAATTCTCCAATCATCTCTTCATCCATATAGGGTCAGATCCGAATCCGTTGGCATCGGCATATATGTCAACAGCCGCCGGTCTACCGCAATTTGGAAGCGCCAGTGCATTGTCCACTTCGCCGCTGGCCAGCGTGGCCCTCAGTGCCGCAGCCGCCGCCGCTGCGGGAAAGCAGATCGAAGGTGAGTGACCCACTGAAAATACACTGAAATAAATATTATAGAACTTGCCAAAATGGTATTTCAACAATAAAATAAACAATTTGAATCTGAGTGAAACACACAAGGAGCATTCAGCCATATATATATATTCAATATTTAAAATAGGATTAAATTACAAAAGGTTTTTTCATGAACAACATATATGTTCCCTTATAAATTTATTTGTTATCTCAACAAAATATTTAAATTTTGTCGGCCATTGTTCTATTGTTTTAAAGGAAATCCTAAGTTTAGACTCTTTTCTGGCTTGTTGGCAATTCCGTGGGTAATCAAAGTGGTATTTAGGGAGGAGAAAAGGTGGGGAAGTTACGCGCACACGTTAGAAATAGAAATGTCTAAAAGCCTGACATTTTGATAAATGTAGTAAATGCCCGAACGAATGCTACTGCGGTCGTGTCAGTCCAATACCAAATCGTTCGGTCCACACTTTATCCTCTGCGCTACTCTTTTTTGGTTACATAAGTTGGTTCTCTAAATACTCTTTCCAAAATATTTTTGGAATTAGAGAGGAATTAGAAACATTCATATTACTGTCTTATACAGTAAATTTTTTATTTAAGCAAAATATTTCAAATGAACAGATCTGTTCTCGCAATGCTTAAGTCAAACACTTTTTATATTGATCTTAAGTTTTTATATTAAAAGACGGGACACTTAAATTTGCATCACAATGGTTAGGGTATCCAAACAATGGACATTCCCACTGCCATTTTCACATCTGCAATTGTATTTGCTTCTGCTTCTGATGCAACATCACATGCATTAAACCCGCTCATTGCTGTCAGCGTCATTCGCTCGTGATGCGGTTATTTTTTGCATCCTTTTTTGCTGTTTTCTGCTCGTTGGCTCAGCATTATTCCCACCCACATTGCCCTTCCTTCACGTAACCCTCTATTTCCCGAATCCCACTTGTCATGGACATTTTGTGGATGTCTGTCTAATCTACTTAGTTTTAGTTGTGCCATTGTTCGCGTCGCTTTTATTGTGCTGGAGGAAAGGGGCCTTAGTTTTATATGGAAAGTCATCTATCAAATGTTATGCAGTTGGATAAAGTACGGGATTTTGGGATGAGAGACAGAAGCGCAATGTCAGATGGGCATTTTCATAACTGCAAGATTGGTCCCGAGTAGATTTTCGAGCCCCTACAAATCAGAATCACCAATCCAAATCCAAACCATCTTGCAAGAATTTCAATCGCCTTTGCCATGCCCTCCTGAATGTGTGCACAACGCCCCTTTAATCCGCAATCGAATGTCTTCTGCTGACACAAATCCTTCAATGCCATAAGCCAATGCCTGCAGAGATGTAGCAAAAATCAATAAGATCAATCATCTCATATACTCCACTTCTGCTCCCATCTCACACTCGCTAAGGAGAATTTATGAGGAGCGCTTTCGGTGGGGCTTAAACTTTTATCAGCTCCCGACACAGTGTAAATATTACACACACTTGACACACAATTCCATTAGTCAGACGTCGCTGTCGATATCGGGAAATATGGCAACTGAGCATTTCTTTTTCCCGACCTCCGTGGATTTGTGTGCCTGGGTGTGTACTTTGGCACACATAACATTAAAGTTGCAGCAGGGAGATGTTCGAAATGCTGGGCAAAATGCAATGGAAAATGTTTTGGCATTGCACTTTTTGCCATATTTCCGGTTACATAAGCAAACATCCTTTGAGTGGATGGGAGTGCCGGGGGTGCTTCATTTGATGTGTAAGTGCAGAGGAAAAAAATAGGCTTTGAAAATTACCCATTATTTGAAAACTATTATATTTTAAGGAAACCTTGACTTAATTTTTTAAATTATACTTTCCTTACTTTAAATTGTATTTGGTACAAGTTAGGCCTTAACCATTACTTTCTTTTTTTCTCTGCATTCTATGCACCATATAGTGAGATATATTTTTGCAGTTGAGTGACTCGCTCGTCCTTTGTCCCCCGGTTCATCTTCGTCTCCCACGACTCCTTCAATTCTGCTTGCCTCGTCCTTTTGTGCGACTCCTTGTTTGCTCTGCTGACTCATGACGTCGCCGAAAATTCCCTCCTGACCAACTGCAACAACAAATTCCAACGAGACGCAGGGTCACAGTCCCGAGGAAGCGAGGATTGTGTGGTGCTGTCTGTGGAAGCACAACAAATTGCTCCTGCTAGCCCAAATGCGAAATGTGAGCTGCCATGTTTCGCCTCGCTTGGTTGGATTGTGAAAAACTATCATAGATGACTGGGACCTGCTTAAATGAAAGTCGACCCATCAGGAGGGTGGGAAGACCTAAGCTCTATATAATTATTGGATGAGATAAGGAAGATACAGACAGAAAGTGGTTAATGGGTAATTGACTCTGATTTGACAGAATAAAAAAGGAGAGTTTAAAGGCGACCTTAAATTTGGGAGTACTTTTATCGCATCTTTTAAACATACGTATTGCTAAAAAACTACCATATATTTCACTAATTTACTGGACAATTTTGGTATCTTCCTTATCAGATTTAAAGCAAAGTGTTTTTTTCTAAGCCACAATTAAAATCTTCCCCTTATTTCAAAGCGTATACCGTCTACACTCTGAAGTCAGGGAAAAAATATGTTTGAGAAAATCCTAAAAATGTCGGATTTATGCAATCTGCGTAGGGCAAAAGGGCAGGAAAAACTGCAACAACAATGTCTAGTGCAGATAAATTCTCAACATGTGAAATTTATCAAGTGACGACAGTTCCACAACAGAAAGCGGAAGAGGACGATAGTGGGAGTTTAAGCGGAAGATAAGGATGGGCTGGGGAGCAGGAAACAACTTATAAGCGTGTAGACAGGCCCAGACGACAGGCACAAAATTAAGCAGGAAACAGAGGCAAAAGCAGCAAAATAAAATAAATACAAATATATAAAAAATATGTTGGAAAATAATTTTAAAAAATCATAAGCGGCGCAGGACTATGCTTAAGGGACCAAGAGGACGAGAACTCTGCTCGAGAAAGGGACGGAAGGAAGGCAACAAATATGACAGTGACAGACGATGGGAATCCCCCGCCTTCATCATCGCATGGGTGACCCTAAGGCGGCAGCGGTCGCCTCTCCTTCCGGCTGCATCCGGATTAAAGTCATGTGCATAAGCCGGAAGTCGGAATATAAAATAACCAAATGTTGTATGTGCAGAAAGAAGGCGAGGGCGAGTCGGGGAGCAGAAGAGGTGGCCGGAGACATCGCAGATTTGCGACTTTTGCTCTGGGAGGTAGTTGGAATTATTATAAAGGGGATGAGCCTGCAAGTGAGTGGTTATGGTTATGAAGTGGAGAAATGAAAACACAGCAAAATATCAACAATATGTTTAACAAGACTTGGAACCAAATATTCTGAGCTATGTTTAATAAGATATTTAGCTGATATAAAGAAGATAAGATAAAAAGCAGATATACAACAACATATTGAGAAATGTATTCAAAAATGTATTAAGAAATATATTCAACCACATAATGATCAACAAATTCAACAACATATTCAACAACAAATTCAACAACAAATTCAACAACATGTTCAACAACATATTCAACCACATATTCAACAACATATTCAACAACATATTCAACAACATATTCAACAACATGTTCAACAACATGTTTAACAACATATTCAACAAAATATTCAACAACATATTCAGCAACATATTTAACAACATATCCAAAATCATATTTCACAACGTATTCGAAAACGTATTGGGCAACATATTCAACAACGTGATTATCAACGTATTCAACAATGTATTCAAAAACAAAATCAACAAATTGTCCATGAATATTTTTTGATCTACATTCTGCAACAGATTCAACCATAAATATAACATAATATTCAAGAACGGAGAATTTCTATCACAATTTCTCCCACTGCAGCTATATGCACAAGTCGCGTTAAAATCAATAAAGAAACTCAGATATATGTGCAGGCAGATCTGGAACTGTAGCTTATGTGCCATAGATTCCATTTGGCTTCCTTCCGCCTCGTTCGTGCCCTTGAGAGGAATAGGAAAATAAAGGAGGACTTTCGCCAGCTTACTTCGGTGAGCGCGACAGCCAGGAAAATGGCAAAAATGCTGGTCCTAACTGCGAAAGGGAGAGGGAATGTGCATCTGCAAGTAACATCTCTTATTCCCCCGGCCAGCATGCAAGTGCATCAATAGCGAAGAAGGCAGGCCACATTGCCAAGGCGGATGCCGCATCTTTGCTCGACGGAAGAGGAAAATGCAATATAGGAAATCGTTTTTCGCACACTGAAAAATTCCAACCAAAAAAATGAAACCAACAAATTTGAGTTGAGAAAAAACAAAACAGGAAGTTTATTTGTATGTGCGGAGCGATGGAGAGGGGAATCCTTTGCGGATTCCAAGAAGTTACACATTTCTGGTTACCAAAATGAGTGGAAAACATTTTGCAGTTGACAGCCAACTGAATTTATATAAAGTTGAGTAAAACCAGACTGCATATGGATTTAGTTTTGGATATAAATTTGGTGGTTAAGGAAATGTAATGCGGACTAAAATTGGTATAGCATAAAGTCAGAATAAATAGTTGTACTTTTATTGCTTAAATTTCATTCTATGTAAAAGTCGGTAACTAATGATATAAACATCAAAAAAAGAAATTGCATTTCATGAATGAAATCTTTTAAAAAAAGTACTCGAATTTTAATACTCGCAGAAGTCCCCTCGTAATAATCTAATGAGCAGCCTTAGTTTAATGTTTTCATTTTAATGAAAAATTCTTAGAAATTCGCCTTCTTGGGAACAAACAAAAACAAATTTAACTGAGGTATGCTCTGTATTTTATGTGGGTATGTTTTTTCCACCAACTTGAAATCTTCCAGGAAATTGTCGAGTGTCATTCAAAATTGTTACCTTAATTTGTTGCCTTAGAAACATCTCGTGCCGCCTGCCTTCACATTTGTCCTTTCATCTAATTATGTATCGTGTCGAGCCACACGTGTCGCTTGTTAGTCGCGTAATTCAATAGCTTGAAGCACTTTTAATTGGACTTTTTACTTCCCGTTTCGTTCCCCCATCCTGAGCCTAAATTAATTGATGGGCGTGCAAAATTTCAAAGCAACAAGTGCATGACGAGAGCCCCGAGTCAATTAATATTAAAATCCTGGCAACGTCAACGGCTTGTGACCGAAGGAGATGCCTCCGGAGGAGCTGCTTTCTTCGCCATTCAATTTGGCTTCATTTTGTAATCGCATCAGCGTCGGGCAATCTGTCAGCAGTCAGTTTACCTCGAGGGCGTGGCACTGGGGGAGGCCTGAGTGGGCGGATTGAGGAGGAACCTACTGGGATTGCAGGCCTACGGTGGCCAACCCATACATCAAGGTGATCAATAGCAGTGCTTGTGGCAAACGATGATGGAGTGAGAGTTATGGATGCCGCCGTGGCCGTGGGTGGTGCATGATGTCCTGGAACCACTACAAACTTATCCGATTACAGCGAGTGTGAATCTCAGCGTGTGTGTGGGTGTGGGAGGGGACTCATCAAAGAGTGTAACAGTTTGCTTTAATGATGAGTGGGACATCGTGAGGAGATTCATGAGTTTTGGTAAATTAAAAATCGAATGAAAGGAAAACACACATCAAAATACTTAAGATTGATGTACTAAAGCATTTCTTAAATGTAGGCAGATCTATCAGGATTTATTTACTATTTAGCTATTAAATAAAGTGGTTAATTTAGTGTTGTGGTGGGCAATTAGTTTTTAGAATTATAAAGATTTTATAATCTCAGATAAAAGTATTTTTAACATTAAGTTATTTTAAGTTTGTAATATTTGAGTGTCAATTTTCCGGTGTTTTGTATTCATTCAGAATGCGATTCACCATAGGGGTTTTATTATTTCTCTGTTTTTTTTGTGTTTCATCCAGATGAAATTGAAAGACAAGACCGCAAAATGCCAGCTGCCATTTGAAGCGTTTTGCTGTCATTAAAAAGCATCACGAAAGTGAAAACGCGACTGCTGGCACTGCTTTCACCCCTCTCTCTCCAACACCCCACTTTCCATCTCTTTCTATCCGAGCTGGGTGCCTTGGATTTCGGATGCTGGTGGGTTGTATTACTGCTGACTGCTGACTGCTCATTGCCAGTGACGTTGACAGTAATTTGCACGAAAAGTGCAACCGCAGCACGAGGCGCGAGCCACGTTAATGTGCGTGTGACAGGGACGGGGATAGGGATAGGGCGGCAGACAGGGACGGGGCGATGATGATAACGCCGGGAATGGCGATGATAATGCCCCAAAAGATAATGATGACGATGTCAGCAGTCGCAATAGCACGTGCTGCTAAACAAAGTGTCACACCCACACACGTACGGCAGACAGTTGACGGGAGCAAAGGAGATGGCGAGACAAGTGCGAAAGAGAGGGACGAAGCCTCATTTCCGCTTCCGCTTGGCAATCAGCTGCTGCTGGCGCCCATCCCCTTCCCCTAATCTCCGCCATTGGACCCATATAATTTCACTCTTTGTCCGCTCAACTTTCCCTCTGAATTCTGCGGTTCAGTGGGTGGAAACTCGGGGGGTTGTGGGTAAAACACAGGGAGTGCAAAGATGCAACTGGTTAATTAATAGTTCCCTGCTAGGTGGGTCTATAATGTGGACTAGTTGCAGCAGCATAAACTATAAGGCTGATATCTGATTACTTATATAAAGTCGATTTGATTATTGTATTGAAGGTGTTGGAATATTTATTGACGATAGACTTAAGTCTTTAATTATGACTCGTAATTTCAAAAAATACCACAAATTAATGGAACATCCTTTACTTTCTTTTAGGACCCGAGGGCTGCAACCTTTTCATCTACCATCTGCCGCAGGAGTTCACCGACACGGATCTGGCCTCCACGTTCCTGCCCTTCGGCAATGTGATCTCGGCCAAGGTGTTCATCGACAAGCAGACCAGCCTGTCCAAGTGCTTTGGCTTCGTCTCGTTCGACAATCCGGACTCGGCCCAGGTGGCCATCAAGGCGATGAACGGTTTCCAGGTGGGCACCAAGCGCCTCAAGGTGCAGCTGAAGAAGCCCAAGGACTCCAAGCCCTACTAGAGGGCATTGTCGGAGGATTCCCACCGTCAGCAGCGAGGTTATCCGGACACAACGAGTAGAGGAATATTGAGATTTGTGAAATATGGAGTAGTCAATGAATGAAGAGTAGCCCGTGTAGAGCGCGCGCGTTGCAAGAGTAAACGAAGATGCGAATGCCAACGTTGTACGTATCATGAAAAACCAAATACCAGAGCAGAAAAAGACATGAATCTGTGCCAAAAAGAGACAGAATCACTTATGATTTAGCACGTTATATGTTGAATTAGAAAAAAAAAACACAAAACCCAAAAAAAAGAAACGAATAATACAACTATTAGACCGTAGTTTAGTTAACTTTCTGTTGAAGTTCCCTTTGAACCCTTACGACTTGTTTTCATATTTTTAAACTGTCGTACGAGTTGGTTGAACCATCGCCTTTTTATTAAACATTTTGTACACACTTTCATGACTCACAAACGAAACAAAAAATAAAAAAACAAAAAAAAATACAAGGATCTGTTCGAGTGTTAGCTTATAAGTTTTTGATATATCTCATAATTTTATACTCGCTCTTTCTGTTTGATTTGTTCATCTCTCATGTTGCAAGTCACAATGAAGTTCTTATTATAAATATATACCCACATGATATATATTCTAGCTATAGTTACAAGTTACTCGTTCTGTTCAATGGATTATCTCTTTTATATATAAATATCTACATTTATGCAGATGTGCATAATTAGTTTTTAGTTATCTGATTTGTTACACCCCCAAACTAACTTACATTTTTTATTTGTACTGAAAAAGGAAATGTTTTTGTTAACACGCATTATAAGTAACACAATTATTATTATAATTAGTTGAACAAACAAATTCACATACGCTTCTCAGTGTTAATTATGCAATTTGTAAAAAATAACTATGCATACAAAAGACAACAAACCAAATGAAATCAAAAAATGGAAAACTTGTTATTTATGTTGAAGTCTTATCAATGGAGTTTATTATATTATTTTTTAGTTTCTATCATTCGCTACATCATCCAAATTTACACAAATCCGGTATTATATTATTATATATGATTCACTACGTTGTAAACTCTCTGTTTTAGTTGAAGTTTATTTGGCTTTCTGTCGTCGCACATTTTTGAAGTAGATAAGTGCCTAATGTAGCATACTTTGTTGATGTAAAAAATCATGCACATATGTAAACACTTCATACCGCAGCATACATATCTAAATAAAGTTTTGTTCTCTGTTTCAAATGCACACAAAATGTACTTATTTTTTGTGTTCTTAACACGTTGTTCTTTGGTTAATAATACAAGGTATTTCTTTGCGTATTATGTTGGTGTATGTCATCACACTTAATTTTAATTCGACAATGCTTTTATTTTTTATATTTATTAATTTCAGAACATCTCTGAGGCTATTGGTTCCAACACGCCTTAACACAACCAGAAATGTTCTATATATTTTTAGAAGTTAATCAATTCTACTTGTTTTTATTCTCCAGATGATATGTTGACGTTTGGAAGAGTTTTGCCATTTATTTTATTTTTGGAGAGGCAAGCCAAGTGGTAGTTGATGCAAGCCGCCAGTTGAAAGGTGAGTTTTACCCTACTCTGTCTAGATATACAGTTTTCTAACTCTTCCTTCTCTCATTTCAGTTGTACGCAAATCGTTTTTAGAAGGCGCATAGGTCCCTGAAACTTGTAAATATTATCCGCTTGAGTCTCGAGAATCCCAAAAATAAATGCCTATTCCACTGCTGTCGCATACAAATTGGCAACTACTGTACATTTTAGAACCACAAACATATTGGAAAACCTGTAAAAAAATTAATACGCAAACATGTTGTACGATAGCCAAGAAAAGCCATTTTATATGCTTGTAAAGCAAACTAATTTTAACAAAGTAAATTTATAAAAATAAACTGAAAAGAATCTGAGTTTCAGTTTGTTGTCAAATATAATAAATTGGTTTTGAAGCTGAACAAAAGCATTGACAAATCAGATGGAAGGGTAGCTAAATAATTTATGGCTTTGAACTCAGTTTCCAAATTGATCGTTTGTCTTTGTTTGAAGTAGAGTCTAAGCTGTGTGCATTTTATACAAACTATCTGGATGTGGCTTTAAATTAAACATAATTTCAATGCAGAAATTAGCATTCACCTTAGGAGTAAGCTTAACGTGAAAAGTGTTCTGTGTGTAATTAAATGTGTAATTAATAATTAGCTGCTAAGTGTAATTTTTTAGAGAAACAAAGCAAGGCTGTGTGTTCTGACTAGATATTAAGCGAATTTCCCTTTCGGACAAATGAAATTAGAATGCCATTTAATGTGGATGCAGATTGAAATATTAGTTTGGAAAACCGCGATAAATATTTGCATTGGCTATATTAAGGCAGTAAACAGCGAGAACGTAATTCTAGTGATAAAACGCAGTTAGTTAAGCGAATGGATTATATGTATCTATTAAGTCTTCAGTGTATATTGCTACACAACACAACCCCACACAATCACACATCAGCATCCAAACAGAATAAGTAAATCAATAAAAGGTGTCATGATTTTTATTAAAAAAGGAGAGCGCATTTTTACTGGCACAAAACTTACACGAACTGACGCTGGATAATTTATCAAAAAATGTCTTAAGCCAAAAAACTTTGCGAGGGAAAACTTCCAGGCAAGCAAGTCGAGAAAAATGAACGAAAAACATACAAAATGTTGACGACTGAGGGAGACAGAGCGAGAGTAACTAAAGGAAAACTTCAACAATAAACGAAATATTTTGCTAAACTTGCGATTTGCATATGAGAAACTTTATGCCAATTGTGGACCTGTGGGGGCGGGTAGCCCGGGGAGCTGAATCCTGGCGAGATCCTAAGACCCAAGTGCGAGGGCCAACCGGCAGGACGTGTAAACAAATTTACCAACTACGTGACGCAGCAGTTCGCTCCGCTCCTCTGCTGCCTTGCATAATCCAAATCCAAGTCGAGTCTTAACGCAAGATTTATTTCCATTTAAATCATGCGTGGAAAACTTTTCCTCCGCTTCTGTCGACAGCAAATGCCAAAAGGGGCGGCGGCGGAGCTTACACGGCAATAATTTCGACTTGGCATATTCAAATATTTTGGCATTTGATTAAGCCGAAAATTTTTGGCATTCCTCTAGCAAATCCCAATAGATAGACGCCGCTGCAACAATGGCGAGAAGGGGAAAAACTGATTGTTGGTGTGCGATAAGCGGCTCATTGATCCGGTCGACTGGTGAAAGAGAGTAAAAGTCTGCGATGATTCATTTGTATAAAAAGTTGGTGGTTTTTGTGGAATTAGGTAAAGGTAGGTAAACCTAGTAGTACATAAAGAGTAAAATAGGAAGAATAAATGAAGAAAAGCTATAGTCAAGTGCCTGGGATATAAGATACCCGTTACTTTGATTCAAATAAAATACAATTCCTGGACAGTTCGTTTAGCGCAGCACACACCACCGATGGCAGCGCCACGGCACCTAGCAAACCGAAGCGGTACTAATGTCCATGCCAAATCCTGATTTTAGCATTATGAACGTTATAGTAGGCGTGTGTCTTTGCTGAAATATCCTTGCGCTTCCCAGAAATCTTTAGAATCTACATGCTTAAGCTCAACTTTGTAGCAACTATACTTTTCTAGATCTCAGCGTTCATACTAACAGAAGGAGATGGTTAGATCGACTCGGCTAATAATCGCTTCCTTCTGACTGCTACATACTTTCCGCCGAACCTAATATACTCCTTAACTTTACAGATGACGGGTATAACTACACACAAAAAAATCGGTTGGTAAAATTCGCCAACCATCGAATTGTCCATTTTTCTCATACGTATTACGTAAATGTAACTATAAAAAGTTTAGAGTGGATCCAACCGATGGATTGTAGTGAAAAACCTATTTTCAAAGTTATCCAACCCATCATATGTATATAGTTAGTGAATTGTTTTTATATTTAATACATACCTTTAAATTTATAAAGTTATTAATTAAATTCATAAATACGTCAAAATAGCATTGTAATTTATAAGCACAATAAAATAAAATGTTCAATTCGCACTAAAGGTGACTTCCAGCTATTGCAAAAGTAAAGTCTTAAGTTAAGATTCATAACTTTACAGAGTTTAGCTTGGGAATCTACAACAAACAACACATTGCAGAAAATTTGTACGTTAGAACAACTATTTTTGAAAGTTAATCAACTATTTCTATAACAAAATATACAAATCACATGAACTTTTAAATGTTATGATTTCACATCTTTTGATAAGTCTTATTGATAGCGAAATGTCTTTAAGAATTGAAAATGTGTTTCGAAGCTCAAAATTTTTTTTTACGAATTACTGTTTTGTAGTTGTGTTTATTTTAAACGACTTCATTTTCTGATTTAAGTATTTTTGAAACACTGAGAGTACTTTTTATATGCTGATAAACAAGTTTAAATTTGAGTAGTACAAATACAAGTTGAAAGATATAGATAGTTCTCGAAAATAGAATACATTAAGCCCATTTCAAAAACGTTAATTGAGTTTCGATCTCTACTCATGTGAACCATCCTGGGACTTAGAAACTCCGCTACTAACGCCTAATCGAAATCTCTTCCGCTTCCATCTCTTTCAGTTTCTGGTTAACAATTTGCCAACGTTTGATGAGATCTTTTGTCATGCTCCACTGGTTAAATCGCTATTTAGGCCACTAAATTTGAGCCGCATCAACGGAGCGCGTTCCATCCACGGGCCTGTGGGACTGGGATTGGTACTACATGTATGCAGGATGTATTCCAATCTAGACGTGAACATGAACAGCGACAGGGACACGAACACGAGCACTGACACGGTCATGAACAATATGGGGAAACGGCCTGGGAAAGCGTTGCTGGGGAAACCGAGGCAGATTAGCAAAGTTTGTAATTACGTTGGTAATTGATTAGGTTCGAACAACAAACTGCTAATAAGATTATTGCAGTTGAGAACAAACCGAGCTGAAAAAACAAAGCCCAGGCCCACTCACAGCCGCCCTCCAATTCGCCAAATTATCCTCCAACTGTGTCAGGGAAAGAGATGAGATGAGAGGAGCGGAGTGGGCCACCAAAATTGAAGCGATTTGTGGCACAAGTTCTGCATGCAGTTAGAAAAAAACTGGTTAACTTGCACAAATTAAAACTTTACACAAAGCAAAAGATTTCGAAAAAGATTTTGGAAATATTTGGAAAGGTGTGCTATAGTCAATTTAATGTGTTGTAATGGTACACTTCTTGAAAAGCGGTTTAAATATACAAAGAGCACCTACTTCAATCCCAGTCTATTTTGTAAGACAAAAATCAGTAAAAGTATTAAAAACTATTTGGAAAATTTAATCTTTCTTAACGAATATTATTTGCCATAAATATTCCCATCACTTAAACCCCTGAAATTAAGCAATCAGGGATCCAAAAAAAAATTGCGCTGAGCACAGTTGGTAGGTAATTCTTCACATTTCAGATTCGTAATCAAATGCATAACATTAAGCACTGTGAATTCGTTTCTCTGAGTGTACTCAGCAGCATCCTTTCAAAACAACCCATCCTCTTCTCCGCTCTAACATCCGCTGTTTGTTTGCACAATTTACCCAGCGGGGGGCGGGCGGAGGCGGGGGCGTGGCTGGGGCCACAGTAAGCTCACGCAAGCCGGAAGAACAACAATCGACCACCGAAATAACAATGGATTTGGCGCGTTTGCCCGTTTTTGGCATTGGGCGTATTGTTAATGGCATTGCACGCACATCGATGGGGTTCCCCCAAATGAAAGACTGGGCGGTGGGAGCGGGGGATTCGGGGATTCGGGGATAGAGGGGGCTGCAGCCTCGCAGATACAAGCACACACACAAAAGACAAACAATTTAGCGGCGTTGCAATGTGGACAAACAATCTGTGGCCAGAAAGATGGTGTGCAAACCAAGGTTGTCGGATTC